GTAAAATTTTAATGCCAATAGCTCAGGGAGTGCAGTGCTGTGGGAAGCTCTTTTTGATTGGGGAACTGAAAGCAATGGCCAAAGGCCCGAGGAAATTTTTTAATTTAGTTTTCAAACAGCACCCCCCCCCCCCTGGTTGCTACGGCCCTGAGGTGAAATATAACCACTGTCTATCGCATGCATCAGTTAGGTGCAAAAAGCTAAATTCTGCACCAATAATCAATATATGCGCCCTAATCAATATAACCCTTTAAGTGGCAATGTACCCTCATGTGACCTACTTTATTATTTTACTGTGTCTAATGCCAAGGATTTTACTCATCAGGGAGAGAGTGCTGTCACTCAATGGGTTAATTCACAAACGACTCCTTAGTCCTTAACTGTCTGATAAACAATTTTTGTGTTTTAAAATTTGTTATAAACAAGTTAAAATAAAAATACACAAATCTGTATTTACCCTCAAATATGAATAAGGGGTTATTATAGCCCAAGGCCCAAGTATGTACACTTGTGCCACAGTGCCAGCACAAAATGGGCTATTTCAGCTTTCAATTCTGCTGGAATGAGGTGATAAATTTTTAGCCTTGGAATTCCTCAGGGATAAGCAAATTTCTGTGTGGAATTCTTTGGAGGTAATCTGGTAATGGCTATTTTGAATGAGATTTTCTCAGGGGTCAAATGTAAAAATTGAAATTCTTCCAGGGTCTCTCTTCATGGGTATTAACAGGAATTCTTCAGTGGATCTCTTTTATGACCTGTAGGAATTCTTCAGTTCAGCGATATGATGAACTCTTGTGCAACGGACCTGATTGTGAGATTCCACTTCATTGAAAGGATGACCTTAGGGACGGACCGTTAGAAAACTGATGGGGGGGGGGACCAAAAAAGAATTTATTCCCAGGAAAAAATTAGAGGAAAAAATCTTCCCAGGCAGAGTGCCAAAAAAATTCCTTTCTTGGAAGATAGGCCTATAAATTTTAATAAAAAAAATATATTTCCAGCCATCAAGAGAGAAAAAAAAATTTCTTCTATAAGTGTACAAAAAAAATATTGCCTCTTAGAAAATCCCCCCCCCCCGATCACTTTTCTAATGGTCCATCCCTTAGTTAATTAAATTTGCTGTATACATTATGTTGCAACGTGTCACTATTTAAAACTCTTTGCCGACCGTACGGTTTCGCATTACATTACGACCCAATGTTTCTAATGTGAATATCTCGGCGAGTATTTACCCCCCTTTCAAACAAAAGCCACCATTGATATCCTCACGAAATTATTTTTCGAACGGGGGGTCAAGTGCCGTCAAAACATTACACAAACCGAAACAATCATATATTTACTCACCGCTTGGCCAAAGATTCTAAATTTCATATACACAAGATCTTAAATATCTCTTGAACATTTCGTCATTTGTCGAACGGCTATATGTGTAAAATACTCTTTGTATTCAAGCGCTTTCGTGTACAAAATTTTGTTTGAATACGGCGAGTAGAAATATTTATTTTGAATTTTTTAAGATGTCGGGTTTTACTCGCACTTGCGTACATTGCGCAATAATTGGCCAATAAGAGGCTCCTGTAGCCGGGATGACGTCAAACTCACGCGTGTAGGTGCAATTTGACCTTGCGAATCCATTTCTGGCCTTTGCAGGGTCATACGATACAAGCTTCGCATTGTTTTGACAGTTTTCAGTCGTATTTCCGGTTGGGATTAACTCACTTCAAGCTCACAGTCGGACAAGAAATGGAAATATATTGATAAAAGATACAGATTTGAAGATACAGGCTTGCAAATACCACTCTAAGTAGTGTTTTTAATGGGGATTCTAACAAGACTATTACAAAGACGATATGTTCGAAGGGGCCGAAGTTATTTTCGGCGAAAGGTACGGCTAGTCTATATTTTTGTTCAGACAATTGCGTAATTTGATACAATATGATCATGTTTGGCTTCAAAGGCCCATAAATCGCTACAAAATTGATAATGGCTATAGCTATAGGGCTAAATTGCAGAATACCCGTCCACTAGTAATATTATATCATGCAGCTACCATTTCACTGGATACGCGGATACGTGGTCCGACAGTTAAGCAAGGAAAATTGTCAGCGGAGAACATCAATAGATTAAATTCTCATGACGTGCAGTATATTATTTTGGTGGATACTCGGCTACGCAGTGAGTTCAATTAACAATGACGTAATGATAAGATAGATGTAGTATTTATTGGATACGCGGATACGTGGCAACGCAGTGAGTTAAATTGAAAATGAGGTAATGATATAGATGTAGTATTTATTGGATACGCGGATACGTGGCAACGCAGTGAGTTAAATTGAAAATGACGTAATGATAAGATAGATGTAGTATTTATTGGATACGCAGATACTTGGCTACGCAGTGAGTTAAATTGAAAATGACGTATAAAGTGCGACAATAATACCACATCTTATTGCCTCGTTCTTTAAAAACGATGCGTATAAACTACGACAATAAATACCATATCTTATAATTGCCTCGTTCTTTGAAAAACCTCATTCCACTTATAAACACGATGCATATAAACTACGACAATGTATAAACTACGACAATAATACCACATCCTATTGCCTCGTTCTTTAAAAACGATGCGTATAAACTACGACAATAAATACCATATCTTATAATTGCCTCGTTCTTTGAAAAACCTCATTCCACTTATAAACACGATGCATATAAACTACGACAATGTATAAACTACGACAATAATACCACACCCTACTGCCTCGTTCTTTAAAAACGATGCGTATAAACTACGACAATAACTACCATATTTTATAATTGCCTCGTTCTTTAAAAACCTCATTCCACTTACAAACACGATGTACTATTTAAAGCACGCGTAGGAGTGTTTTATCACATATAAAACACGACGCGTAGCGGAGTGTTTTATATGTGATAAAACACGACTACAAGTGCTTTAAATAGCTTAAAAACGACTCATCTTATACGAGTTCATTGGCGAAGAAATTTTTAAAATAAACTTTGTCTAAACCGAGAAAATCAAAGCTAAAGTTTATGTAAATTAACGTGATTTTTTATCACATATAAAACCACGACACGCTTATGATTTTTCTTTGTGTTTTGCTCCTGAATTATTAATGAGTTTTTTAAGCATATATAAACTACGCGACAATGTATAAACTACGACAATAATACCACATCTTATTGCCTCATTCTTTAAAAACTAATTCCAATATAAACACGAAAGATGCATATAAACTGCGACAATAATAAGATATCTTCTTATCAACTTATATACACGAACGATGTCCATGCATATAAACTTATAAACACGAACGATGTCCATGCATATAAACTTATAAACACGAACGATGCGTATAAACTACAACAATACTGAAATTTAACACCATGCACACAAATCTATATATTACTGTATTTACTATATCACATATTTTACAACACTTCAAAATTCACAATAAATTTTTTTAACATCCCAAAGAAACGTTGAAAACAAGTCTTTTCCCTTATGTTCGTAACGCCACAAAAACTCAGCTAAGTAAGAAGAAAACGCAATCTTTCGAACACCAAACGACGGCATTTTGCATTTGGCCTGCCTCCAGTGCCATTCAATTTTGTTCGTATGATCTCCATCTTTGTTAACAAACTCTTTGGAATGGTTCACTAAGCGATGTTCATACCCATGTTTTTCTAAGTTTATATACGCTTTCCAACAGTCTGATACTATGATTGAG